AATAATTTGGGGTCCAGAACCCCTAAGAACACCACCAACACCCCCATAGCGGCCCCCAATACCCCCATACACCCCCCCAACACCCCCATTATTATTTTTTTTATTTTTTTTTGCAGTTAGTTAGTATTGTGAGGATTGAGCCCTCAAGTAGGGGCCTTGCCATGATGTACATGTTCTGGGCTAAGGCCCCAGCAAGCCTAGTGCCCGCGCTAAGTGAAGGCGGGCTAGCAATACGACAAGAGCCCTTTGTGCAACATTTTACGAAGTAGGGGCTCATACAGTTGCAGCACGCCAGTTGGTTGGAGTGCACAGAGTCTCGGATTTCAGCAAATGCTGAAAGCCCAGGGCCTCTGAGTTGGTTAGGCCCTGGGCATCTGAACGTGAGGACGACAATGCATGCTGGAAAGAGAGGCCGAAAATGCCAAAGGGAAATCGGCCCACTATCTGAATCTGGCCGCAGGCCTTGATGAAGGAGGCGCAACTGCCTTACCCCGGGGCCCAACTGTATCGAGTTGGCTTCAGCCTCTGGGCCCCGGACACAGGCTGAAGGGAGGCCGCCCACACACTGCACTGGATATAGGCAAGCAGGGCGAGGCAGCGGGGAGCTTGGCCAATGCTGGCATATGCGGGCAAGCTGCGCAGATGCAGGTGTGCTGCGCTAATGCATAGCAGCGTTGCGCTAAGTAGGAGGAGGGCAGCGCTAGGCGGTAGGGCGCTGCCTGCTTGCAAAGCACTGGCGGCCATAGCCGGGCCGCAAGAGGGTGTAGGGGAGGTGAAGGCGAAGGTGGTACTTCGGAGGTGAAGGGCGCTGTGTGGGTAACAAGGGAGAGTGTGGGRAAGATGACACGTACCTGGTGATGGTGGAGGTCTGCATTGGTGTTGACATCATCACTCGCTGGTAGTCAAGTTGTCTGGTYGYTGTTCATTGYTGTAGTYRTAGGATAGGCTGTAGAGTAGATAGGGYGYCTGGCGCCAYTCACAAGAGAGAGCTACATTTGGGTTATGCTGTTGGTGTTGCCCTGGTGGGCATGGACATTGACTCACGATTCTTCTGTATCATTCTCAATGGGATGGTTACTCGGTTCCATGTGCTATCTGCTTTGGCTTTGAATACTTGGACTTCAGTGTGATTTTGCATTCTGGATTTCTGTGCTTCGTCCATACTCATGTTCCTTGCAGTATGGTCTCCACTCTACGAATTGGTGGCAAGTTTGATTAAAATGACCCTTTGGTTTTCATATAAATGGCATGGCAAGTGGTCTGAAAATTAGGGTCTCCGTTAACCTTCTCTCCCCCTATACCCCCCCCTATACTCCAATCCCAACCCCCCCATACTCCCCCCCATCCCCAAAAGTTTCTCAGCGGATTTGTGCTGTACTCAGCAAGCGCAGTACAGCCCCGAACTCAGATTCGAAAAAAACTTTTTTGGATGTTTTTTTTTTTTTTTTTTTTCCTGACTGGTCGGCAGACCGCCAACCGGTCGGCCCTACTGGTCAGCTGCAATATGGTCGGCGGCTGGGGTCAGGGGTCGGCGGTCGGGAGGGATGCAACCCTGGTGATGCCCTAATTCTGTTAGCTAGTAACTTGGCTAGTATCTTGTAGGTTAATGCTAGCAGAGCAATGGATCTACAATTCATAATGTCAGTTGGCCTGCTTTCTTGTACAACAACGAGACTACACCCCTGCAGAGGTATTTTCCCATTCCCTCATTTTTCCACGCCATTTAAATAAAAGTTCATGAATTCGCACCCGAGTATATCCCAGAGGGCCAGAATTGTAGCCAGAATTCCTTGGAGAGAATCAATGACATGTTGATTGCCACCTCCCTGTCGTAGAGTTCGTCATTCCACTGCTATGGGATGATGAGCATTGATGACCATCTTGTTAACCCCCACCCTTCATATCCAATCTGGCCGCACCAGTAATCTCCATGTTTTGCCCTTCTGTGATTTCCCACCGATTGCTCATGGCCTCTGCTGACTCCCTGTTCTGGTCTTTCAGGACCGTAATTTGTGCTTCAAAATTTTCTTTTTGTCTGCCCAGGTTCTTGCAAGGATTCAGGACCTCAGCAATTCCTGAAAAGGGGCCTTGCCCACCCTAAGTGAAGGTGGGCCGCCGAAAAATGCAGCAGGGCGTCAGAAGAGTCCAATATGAGCTTGGAGTAAGAAGGGATGTGGGGAAGACGAAGGAGATGAGGGCAGTGTGACGGGCCACGTTCCTGGTGTTGATAAAGTAGGACATTCAATCAGAGTCTTCAAGTGGCACTGGGGCTGACATCAGGTGGAGCCTGTTGTAGCCTGACAGGCTAGGTTGATAAGTGTGTCTGTCAGTAGTAGAGGTGGATGGCCACCAGTAGGTCGGCTACGTTGTTGTCACATTGGTGATTGGAGGCGATGGCAGGGCTTTCATTATCAAGAGACTTCAATGCTTTGTTCGTTCCTATTTGGTGTGATCGCACTTCGCTATCTGCTTTCAGTTTCGGCTCAATGATATCTGGTCTTCCGTTTGATGTTGCAATTTGGTTTACGGCTATTCACATTGCTCTTTTCCCTGCAATTTGGTATCAGAGCTGGTCCGTAGGATCTCGCCACTTGGATTCCACCATGTTTGGTTGGTGTGGTGCATGGAATGGACGAGGTGAGTGTACGCAGTGCAATCATGTACTTGTTGCAGGGTCTCTGGTCGTGCGTTGGGTAGAGAGCGCACAGCCGGAAGGCTAATATGAGCGCATTGAGGGGTATATTATTTGTGTTGGGAGTGAGTTGAGTTGATGCTCGCCGTCGCTTACAGAGGCACTTGCATTGTATTGTTGGTTGTTCCATAGCTATGACCGGTCAATGACACATCATCACAGCCGGTGAGTTAATCTGTGGTTGGGGGCAGCATTGACGAGGTATGTTGTCTTCGACCTTATCTACCCTCCTTCATTCCTCTTACCATGAGGAGCGTTCCACTTGAGAATCCTCTTTTGGTGGGTCGTGAGAGAGCGCACTGCCTTGAGAGTCAAGTCAACATTCTCCTGGTGCATCTGGTTGGTGGAGGAGGAGGAGCAGCAAAGAAGAAGAAGGAAAAGAAGGAGGAGGAGGAGCAGCAAAGAAGGAGGAGGAGGAGGAGGAGGAGGAGAAGGAGGAAGAAGAAGAAGAAGAAGAAGAAGAAGAAGAAGAAGAAGACCATTTTTCAAAAACTGGGGCCTACCGGCCCTGTTTTTGTTTATTGCAGGGGCAGCCTCTGAGGGCGGTGGGGGGCCATCCAGGGCGTTTTCCAGGTGGTCCACCCCCCAGCCAAAATGCGCTCGGCCGTCCTGGGGTTCCGCTGGCCTGCCCCACCAGCCAGCTCGTTCCGGAGACTTCCGAAGAAGGGCCACCAGGCGAACTGGGGACTGGCCCTGCTTCAGGTTAACAAGGTGTCTCAACTTGGCCATTCTGATTTTCAAACTCCACCTCTCTTTCCCGTTCTAACCATTTGACATACTCGGTGAGCCGTTCTGCTGAGTCCAGGTGTTGCCCCTTGTGGTCCACTCCTGTCCTCCTCCATGTTCTGGGCTGAGTCCCCTTCAATAGCATGGGGTTGTCTTTCCGCGAGTGATCAAGATCCTCCTGCACTCAATTTTTTGCCTCCCCTTGGTCCTCAGCAGAGAAAGTAAGTTCTGTTGGGTGGCCTCCCCATCAGACAACTGTCCGCTGTGTAGGAAACCGCCCCTGTGCTTTCATGTCCAAGGATTCAGACCGTCCTCCTTGTCCTTTCCAGGCTTACCCTGTTCCTTCCCACCTTTCTGTCACCCACCCTGGGGGGTGAATTGTTCACTTCTACACCAGGCACCCCCCTGATGAGACTCCAGGACTCTGGCTCTAGCCTCCAGGTTTCCTATGTAAGCACGTGGGGTGCAGTGCCCTTGTTGCTGTTGCTGTTGCTGTTGTTGTTGCTGCTGCTGCTGCTGCTGCTGATGTTGTTATTGTTGTTGCTGCTGCGGCTGCTGCTGTTGTTATTGTTGTCGCCGCCTTCGTCGTTATTGTTGTGTTGTTGTTGTTGTTGTTGTTGTTGTTGTTATTGTTGTTGTTGTTGTTGTTGTTGTTGTTGTTGTTGTTGTTGTTGTTGTTGTTGTTGTTGTTGCAATGGCCGTGCCCTTTTATACCCCCAAGAAAACACAAGCGAAAATGAGAAGGGTGCAAGTGAAAAGCTAGGGGCAGGACCTACTAGTGCTATGCTCATCCTTCGCAAGCATAACATGGCAGTGGTAGTGATCAGGTTTGTGCGTTTGTAGCATGAACCTCAGCACTAGCGGGCCTTTGCCTTCATAACAGCATGGCTGCCGTCTTCCCCCAAATAGAATGTACGGTCATCATCACTGTATCTGGACTGAAGCTGGCCCCAAAAATCAGCTATAATAACGGTCGGCTATATTTGGGGGAAGCTGATAGGGGTGGTCGGACCACCATAAAATGAATCCTCAGGACAAGGGCCCACTGGGGCTAAGTTCAGGCTGGCCCACATGAACATGGCAGTTAGTACAGCTAAGTTCATAGTTAGGCAGGTGGGACCACCAAATGAAACCAACTATTCACAAAAGGTGGTTTGAATTCAGAGTACCTTACAGGAGAAGAGAAGCAGGAGGAGGACAGGGAGGAGCATGTGGCCTATGCAAACATGGCACAGAGTTATGGTAGGCCACGTAAGTGCTGAACCAATGATTACAGTAACAGCAATAATAAGTACTGAAAAGAATGATACGATAATTATAAAAAAATTAAGAACACAATAATAATAACCACAACAGCAATGATTATTATTATAATCGAATAACAATACCGATAACATGAACACTTACAATATTACCTAAGTAGCACAGCTGGATGTTCCGGCTGGATGATCTAGACACCTAATCCAGCTGGAAATGTCGTGCTGCTTAGAATATTACTGACAATAATAATAAAAATACTGAACAATATGCATAATATTAAAATAGAAAAATACAAATAAAGCAGCATATTTGTGGGATTCACCTTCTCCATGCTTGTCTGACTCAGATGCATAATTGAAGAGTGTGCCAACCTGACAAATATCTGTCGAAACGGCCAAACGACCAAGCAAAAAAAAACATCACCTGTTACAGTCAACGAGTGAAACTGCCACCGGGACTTAGGATCACTGCCATCTTCCCTCAAAGGGATTGTTTTCACATTATTTGATTCCCTCATGCGGTGTACACTGTGGTCACAAAATCTTCATCCTTGGACAGTCAGAACCAAGAGTCGATTTCGGAAATTCATTTTTTCTTCCCTTCTTCTTCTTTTTTCTTTTTTTTTTCTCTTTTTCGTTTTTTCGTTTTTTCGTTTTGAGAGGGAAATGTTCAAATCACATTCGGTCATTGTTCTATACACGAAACCATAATTGGCAAACAGCAGGTCTCCACCCTAGACGAATTGCTCAGGCACGAGAAGAGCAAATGGATGAGGAAATGGGGTACAGGTCAACGCTGTCAGGTCTAGAGACGGGTTGTTCACTGAAGGAAAGCTCAGACCTGGGGATGACACAGAATCTGGCGGCCATATGGTGGCTGAAGAGGTATGAGGTTAAAGACCTGACATGAAGGTGAGGGAGAATCTGGCTTCCACATGGAGGCTGAGAAGGTCTGGGGTAACTTGCGGGGTAATAGACAAAGATGGAGATGGCAAATCATCCAGCAGCAGGATGTCAAGCAGGGTAATCAGCCCAGAAAGCATACAAAATGTAAGACAGGGATTGTTTGCACACATCTGTGGGTGTTGTATTTGTTTGTCCTTTCAATATCAGTTATTGTAAGGGACACTGAACCTGTTTTCCAGCAGGTGCAGCTCCTCACCATTAGAAAGGAGCCACCCTCAGATGGGGGGGTGAAATCAGGACTTGCCCCTATCACTGCTGATAGCAGCCTCGCTATTTGAGGGCTTTTCACAAATGACTTGAAATGAGAAGAAAAAAAAAAGAACGAAGAGTGTCTTTTTTGCATAGTAACCCCGGACCCGGACACCGGACACTTCCCGACGGTCTTCCGGACTAGCGTCTGGACCGGTCCAGACTGTCCGGTGATCCGGACAGTCCGGACTGGTGCCAGGGGGTACAAAATGTCCGGACCAAAAAAAAAAAAAAAAAAAAAA